GTAGGTCATGAATTCTCTTCCCGTTCATGTGCAAAGTTCGAGATCACTACCACTACTCCACGGCGGTTTTGAATGCCCGGACGCTAGCACGGTTCATATGTTACGCTTTAATTCCCGCTATTTTTGACTGCTCACAACTTCTTTGGCAGGTCTATTTTGCAGTTTTGGTTTCCACATTTGTAATCAGCGTTAGAAACTCTATCGATCTATATGGATCCTAATTCAAGGTTCCATGGGGACTTGAGTGCCTTCCCTGGGTGGTATCGCATTCAGCTTCGCTAAGAATATACCCTTGTGGCTAACAAGAAAGTTGATTTTGATGGAGGTAAACGTTATAGTTACCTCAGTCCACTATTCATAAAGGGGACAAGTCCATTGGAAAAGAGATGGATCTGAAATATGCCCCCACATTTGTTCAATTAAAATTCCTTCTCGAGTAACGTGTTGTCGGCCTCATCAGAGAGTCATCATACTAATTGACCTCTCACAATTTACAGCTAATCGGACAGCTGGAAGTAAAAATAGAGGATTCACCGCGTTGAACTATGTGCAGGTGGCAAGGCGACCACCTGCAGTTTGTTGCTTTCTCTTGCAAGTTGCTTTCTCTCTCAAAATTTATGATGAGGTTTTCAGGCGATGGGTACAGGCATTCGTGAAGATGAACGATTCTTCCCATACCACATTCCGTTTCAGCTGTTCCTTTTTCTTTTGAATGGTGCCCGGTATGACAGGTGAAAAATTCAACACTTCCAATCGCGCGGTATTTCCGAGTACGGTATTTGGTGAGTATGTAGCAAACACCAATTTGAGGAAATTTTGGTCTGAAGGTAGTTTTGCTAGAAGGAAGGGATGTGTTCATCAGCCGCGTGAATCAGCTGCCAGTGTAGCTGAACTGTTCTTCAAAAATCCATTTTCGTTGGCCTCAGATCGACTGTGGAAACCAATGGAGACAAAAAGGAGAAATTCCTCACTTGTGCTTGCGCATGAAAGTAAGCTTCATAGTCATAAATACTGGGCTACCCAGAAAGTCATGCGACATTTTGCTCGAATTTTGATTGCAACTTTTCCGTTAAAAAATATTCAATCAGCAAGGTTATCACCATTACATATAGGAGACGTACACTTTTCCGGGCAGCTTCTCAACTCTCTTACTTTAGGATTCCGGCGTTTGCTTTGAAAAGAAGCGATCGATCCCATTTTCGAGTTGACCTCAGTCATCGAATTTTTATCTTCTAGATGACGCTTCAGTGCACTAATTACGAATAATTAGAAGCGGTGAAGCCGGGCGAGTAAGCTAAGCACTGCGAAATTTCCCAATCAAAATCCATGATCTTTGACATGTAATTCTTGGTCACATGTAGATATGTGTGTGGGTAGACTAACACAATCTTGAGCAGGGAACTGGGTGAACTTACGCATAGCTCCATTCAAACTTCAAGAGGTGGTTAGAGCCGAGAATGGTCATCACCACGGCACAGGTATCTAGCAGCCCTATGTGAAGAATTGGTTTGCAACCTCATCAGAATACTAAACAACAGTTCTTTACGATGGTTCCTGCAGGCAGCACTTCTCACATTCGGATCCAATACAGCTTATGCAGCAGCATTCTCACATGCGGATCAAATACAGCTTATGCTTTGCGTTCCCATACTGACTAGGGAAGGATGAAGGGTCGAAGTGGCCATATGAAATGAGACAAGTATCATGGTATGTGGTTTCGGACGCTGATCTCGAATCTTCTTCCCAAATCTGCCAAACGATTCGCTGAACGGAGTTACGGAGGTTTTTGTGTCCCTCACACAGTTTAACACAGTGAGAAATGAGGCCTCAGCAGCAGCGGCTTGTGAAGGAAGCAGTGAGCCTCTCCATCGAGTGCTGGTGGCCTAGTGGTTAAGGTGGTGGCCTTGGGATTTCGGGGTCAGTGGTTCGGATTCGGCCCGTGGGTATTGCTTGCATTTTGGTGATTGCCTAATATTGGCAGTCAGTACCTACAACGCTTGAGTCGAAAATTTCCCTAACTTGCATGACGCTATGTACGTAAGGCAAGGCGGGCCAGTATACGGAGCGCGCGCTTCAGCCGTTTTTGAGTGAACGAATGTGAGATCTGTGTTCAGTAACTATCCAAATAACTCCTGTGGCTCCCTGGGCCAATTTCTAGAAAAATTCGAGATTTTGAATTAACTTCAAAAAAAGTGGGCGAGTCACTCATTGATGCTACATATCCATAGCCGGTAGTTCCAGGGTTGACCTATTTTGGACGACGGCAACCCTTTAAATTTGAAAATAATAAAATGTGGGTGTTGAAATCATGCGAACAGAAAACCAGACACTGCTTTACACTCTTCAGAAACCAAAAAAAAACTTATATCGTCTCAAGGCTATATAGGCTTCGATGATAGGCTGATGGATGAATGGATAGATACCCAGCCTTATTTCGAAATTTGGTCGAAATCTCAAATTTGGCTACAAACTTGTCCCTAGGGGTATTTTATCTCCGGAACACGAATATCACACTTGTTTGCTGCAAAAACGTCTGCCAAGAGTTCTGTGGGCTCCATGTGCAGTCTTTAGTAAGTACCGCCGAAACTGATTAGAAACTCCTCGCAAAGTCTTTGCACGGGTAACTACAGGCAAGCATTGATCGAGTAAGGTAGTTGGGAGCCTTTTTCAATCATTTTGCAGCGAAGGCAAAAAAGAGAACCCGCCAGGGAATCGATCCTACGACGTCTCGCACGTGAACCCGGACTACCGCTGCACTACTTTCCTTCATAACTCCATTCGGAAAATCGTTTGGCAGATTTGGAAAGCAGATTCGAGATCAGCGTCCAAAAACGCATCCACCGGTGTAGGTCTCTTTACATATGGCCACTTCGACCAACCATCCGTTCCTGGTGAGCTATCTTCTTTTGTCATCATTTTTTAAAGAGATTTTTGATGCTAAGGAAGAAGAGGAATCTTCACCATGGTCACACACTTCACTTCCCCTACTGGCGCAACCCATGTGGTACCCATTGTGAACATGTGCTGCCCTTTAACCAACATAGTGGGGATCCTCGATGACTGTCATGGAATGCACCACAGCGTTGCTATTGTAATTCACATTTGGTAGCAATCGGCTGCGACTCTGGGAAGTTGAGTAAACGCTCACCATTTTTCACTTACAGCAACCAGAGCAGTGCTTACTTTGAATGAAATATCTCCAGTTGCGAAGCTTTAGGGGAGGGGGTAAAAGGGTCACTATGGCCAGCTGAACGGGTTACCTCCTGAATACAGCACATGTGCTGACTGCAGCGACACACACAGAGTGGCTTTCTAGGAGCTCGAGATGTAAAATAGATCAAAAGATGGCTTGGTAAGAGATCAGCTTGGCGCTGTAAAGTTGTATGAAGCCTTCATGTGCGCTTCTACTGAAACCTTCAAAGACGCGCTACAGATATCAAATGCCAGAACAACTGAAAAGGGTTTTATTATTTTCCCATAGGTAGTTTTCAAAGTGCAGCAGGCTTTTCTGGACATCCCAATAATATCAAATAACCTATGAGTTGTGAGAGCTTTTTAGATATTTTGAGATACATTTTTTCGAGAGACCTGCCAAAGACACTATTTTGATGCAGTTCACGGTTTGATATGGCAAAAATACTCTGATATCACCTTGATAGTCGATCAAGGTAAAGAATGAGCAGAGGAAAAGAAATAGTTCAACGGTGACGCGTACCTGGAATACGGTCATAGATATAATGGCGAGTGTGAACGCAGATGAGTATACTAAAAGATTCAGCTGGAGTCGACGAGCCATTGCGAATTGTTGATCAAAAGTCTGCAATAAGTTCAAAAGGTAAGGCTCGGTTAAAGCACCGTGACTTATCAGAAGAAGCCCTTCAGTGTACCAGAAGCAATGCTACATGCTTTCGACTGCCCCATTCGATGAATCAACTTACATATCTGCATAGTACACACGGACCAATTACGAACCATTGCTGCTTGTTTCGTAAGTTGTTTTTTTTATTGAAACGATGAAGTGAAAATAAAATAACAGCCGTCAGTCAAAGGTACACTACGAAATCAGTTTCATCAAAGAAACCACTTTCGGAGAGGTAGCTGAGGTCTGCACGTGTCACCTTTGGAGACTCCAAAGGCGTCACAAAGAAATTAGGAGCTTGGGACATGGATCCTCGTGCACCTCTTAGATCCGTGCATGCTCACCATGGCGGCATCCATCCGTATCGTATCTATCATCTGCTATGCCTCTTGTCTCGAAGTACGAGGCACACAATCTTCGGTAGTTTTACGACTTCTCTTTCTTTTAATTAAACTGGCTTTTCATATCCCATCCGTACGTTCCTATTAGACCTATCCGTCACCTGATCATGAAGTATGCCAAGAAACGTCCGATGAAGTGACTTTTTAATGCTGTGAAGGACTCTGAGACTCGGTTTGAGCAGACCTTGACGAGTACTGTGTAATTAGTCAATAACCTATAACTAATGTAGTTATTTAGTTAGGAAATCGGAAGTGGTGTAGTGGCAAGTGGGCGCTGCATACCACGCGCGCGCTCCGGCGATCGAATCCTGATTCATGCGTCGTCCGACCTAACCAAGCATTTCATCCCTTCGGAATCGGACGGCTGGTACCAGACTTATTTGTGAGGATAAAAACACAGACATCGGCTGGACCCCATAAGTCATTGTATAGGCCAAATCGCATTCAATTGCCACCACAAAGTAAAAATGGAAGTAGAATGCGTGCCGCGTCCCAAAAAGGGATTGATCACCGGCAAAATGCTTTATCCTTTATTTCTTTTTTATTTACTACATATGACGCATCTTTTCTTCAAATATCCTCGTAGCAAGCTCTACCCTTTATTCCTTATTTATTTACTACATAAATATGTACATATGAGCATTTTTACGAAATTATCCTAGTGAACATCCTTAAAGCAACAGTCCAGGCAGGGTTTCAACTACTTGGTCATTAGGCGGTCAAAACATGCCCCAGCCCAACTAAAGTTTATAGGAAATGTCTTTAATTTCAAAACCTACCTCTAAAATGCGCTGGAAGGGGTCGAAGTCCTCTTGGAGGGGGCGGATCACCCATAAAGAGGCGGATCGCCCAACATTCGCTGTGCAGAGCGCTTGCTCGACTAGCGGTCGTTGCGGGACCGCCGCGCTGTATGAGGTCGATTCCATAAGAACCAATTGAAGCGCTTCAATTTCGATTGCTGGCAAATAGTTATGTATTTGCAAGCATGCATGGCTATTTGCCAGCAGTCAACTGGAGCGCATGTACTACGGGCAGGTTCGGACAACTCGTCCAACACACGTCTCCCTAAACGGCAGGGGGAGTCCCTGTCTAAGCCCCTGCCCGACGTTTTTTTCTACTTTTTCTTTCTCCATTGACCAACTTCTCACCTGCAACGTCATTATAGGTGGTCCTTACCCGCGAATTCGTTCCTGGATTGTTGCTTTAATACACTTAGTAGGGAAGAAATTAGTCACTCAATTAATGAATAAATCAACAAATAATCACCTTGTGATTCCGTTGCTGAGAGTGTTTAAAAAGTGCGGCAGCGTTCAGCGAGAAACACGACACACAGAAGAAGCCGTAAATAGCACTGGAGAGGTAAGAGTTGAACTGAAACATTATGTATGTACATATATATGTAATTTTTGGAAGGAAGGCAACATTCGAGCACAAAAAATTGATTTTGAGGCCCCTTTTGTCTCTTCGTCGGAAATTTTCATGGAATTTGCTAATTCTTTTATGAGGTGCACTACGACCTCAAAGAAAGAGCTGCGCGCTCAGTTTGGCCCTCATAACCCCCTTTCCTCCGATGGGGGCAATCAGAGTACGCCATTTGGCCCACCTACGCTTCCGAAGTTACGGTCGCTTTCTCGGAATCTACTCATGTTATATGCGAACTATTGGGTGTTCAGAAAGTTCTGTCGTTTTCTGACACTCCACTTTTGGATGCTTTATTTCCCTTGAAATCTGGGAAAGCTGCAATTGATGTTGATATCATTTTGAAGAGCTTTTCCAGCTCTATCCAATGCTCAGCTCAACTTTGTCCTAAAATATTTTCTTATAGCTTTTTCAAAGCTTTGAATGCGGTATACTCGATGAGCAAGTTGGCATGACTTTCTTTTTCTAGCTTTAAATAGACCTGAAAGTGGCGGGAACAGTTCAAGATATTAACGATTTTTTTTTTTTTTTTTTTTTTTTTTTTTTTTTTTTTTTTTTTTTTTTTTTTTTTTTTTTTTTTTTTTTTTTTTTTTTTTTTTTTTTTTTTTTTTTTTTTTTTTTTTTTTTTTTTTTTTTTTTTTTTTTTTTTTTTTTTATGCTTGGGCCTAGATTTGCAATAAATGTGCTCAGAAGCAGTAGTTAAAAAATTTATTGTAAGGAAGGCGAGAGCCTTGAATATGATGAGAGTAGTGGTCGGACATCGGACGGTGTCTCCGATTAGCCAAAAGTTCTGATTGAAGCACTTGTGCGTAAGACCATAGAGGAGGTTCTGCCCAACGTGGGCGTATATGGTTTGTACAGCCAAGCTGTACGGAACTAGCTGGAAAAGTCCAAATAGGGCCGTGCCGTGGCAAATCACCATTTGAAGCATCGTCCATCAAATTGTCGCTGGTTTTATGTGGTGAAAGCGACTCGTTTCTCTACAGATTTGCGACGTACAATAAAGAGCGGATTCTTCTCTATAGTCTACGAAAGTTTGCTGAATAGATCGACGGCGATGAAGCTCTACAAACTTTGCAGAATTTAAACTGTGCTGGAGGAGGGTTGTGGCAGCTTTCATGGGGCCAGCGGCTGGCCATGTTCTTCAGTATCAGATGGAACTGTTACAGTGGAGAATCAATCTTTGATATTAAAGGACGAATTCACGCTGGAAAGGCAACCCATTTCAAATTAAGTTAGCGATGGTGAGTGGTACACTAAAGAAGGAAAAACCATGAGAAACGGCCCAGAACCCGAGAATGGGACCCTTCCTTGCCCGTTGATTTGAGCATTGATGCGACTATCATCGCTGTGCCCTCTTCAACACTACGCTCTCTCACCTATCTAATCACTCACCACGTATAGACCTGCGGCGAGTGATCAGATGATCGGTGGGCGTGCACTGACCAGCCGCGGCGGGATTAAACCTTAATAGGTCAACGAGGTCAACTCCTCCTGTGCAAATTGTGCTTCAGTTCGCACACTTAGGAGCTCCGCGGGTCCCTCAACCAGGTGAATTCTTCCTAATTCGATTTTCCCTCTGATCGTGAATTCGTCCTTTAAGTCAAAAAAATCATCAAAAACTCCAACGCATGGGTCCAGCATTCCTCATTATAAAGGAACGCACACATCCCTGAAAGGTGTCTTGAACGCACATCGCACGGCCAACCCTTCACAAGTTGTACCAGCTGAACTTCAGAGTGGTTCTGCGAACATCTTACTTAGTAGACCTTTGAACTATCTACTGTCAAATTTCTGACGATCTCGATAGCTTCCTTGAAGAGAAATACATCAAAACCCAACATGATGCTAAAACGACCTTCCCTCAGTTCATCGCCTCCAGAGGTCCAGCATTCCAAACAAACGTACCCAGTTGAACGGCTTCTTATAGAAAAGATTCGCGCTTTCGAATGGTTTTTTACTCAACTCGAAAGGTTCAGTCTAAGCCGAGATACGTGCATTTAAAATTAGGGGTTGGAAAACGACAGAACTTTCTGAAACACCTAATACAAAGAGGTGGTGTGTCATGACCGTAACCTCACAATCGCCTGAGTGCCTTATTGCTGGATTTCTGATCTTGCTCAAGCCTATTCGCAAAAATGGTGCTTATTAATTTGGGTGGTGATGACCATGAATAAAAGTAATCAGTCATTGTCAGACGCACCAAACCCATCCCTTCTCCGTAGCTAAACTCTGTCCTGTGAAGATTGCTACGTTAGCTACCGTGCCAAGTCACCACGTCGCTACCCATAAGACCTTTGGAAACTACCTTCTGTTCCTTTTCATTGATGAGGTAGGGCACAATTTTTCCGCTAACATCAACGTATCCGGCGTCCTGAAGCAGTCGTATCGTCGGCGTCACCATTGAAACCGTGGCAGCACACGCAAAGCAGATGATTGTTCTTCTGAGTGTCCACCACTGAAGAATTCATTAGAGAATTTATTTCCAAAAAGTGTCTATATTGTACATTGAGTTGTTTCGCTACTTAAAAACATGTTCGCTCGATAAGAAACAAAAGGGTATTCGCATCATCCCTCTTGAGATGACCATTAATTACTCTATTCAGGTTCTTATCAGGTTCTTATAGAAATCTGAAAGGTCTCATTCTGAACAATAATAATGGAGAAGAGCGAGACAGTCTGGTCTGTGTGCATGAGGTAAGCAGACCAGCCCTCTTGGCGTTTCTGCTGGGGCCATATGCTATATGTTGGGGAGGAGATGAGATCCCTGAGGCTGGTTTGCTTACCCCAGAACTAAGCCTTGGAGCGAGAGCGGACCTGCGCTCTCTCGCATCCGTCACTTTTATCCCTATCCCTCCCTAGCCCGCGGCAGCGATAAGCGACCCCGCTACAGTTACCACCGCCACCATCATTATCAACCATCCCCATGAGTCCAAAAATTTCAAGGAAGTTTAGGGTTCCCGTCCCTATTTCCTATTCTTATTAGCACAGATAATAAGAAAGCAGAAGACATTTCCTTCTGATCAGTCCCGTTTTGGGATGCGGCACACATTCTATTTCCATTCAGAAGAGACAATTTCGTAGCGGCATTTAAATGCGACCTGCGGGGAGGGGGGCAGCCGATGTATAAGTCAGCGCTTTATCCTTCCAGACAAGCCCTGGCACCAATATACCGATCCCGGAGGTATGAAGGGGTTGATTAACCTGGACGACACACGACCTAGAACTCGGTTCCCTGTCCGAGCGTATGAAAAGCAGCTCCACTTGCCACTGCATCACTGCCGCCAAAGCACCGACTCTCACTATATGTAGATTCATCACTTTCGTAGATTTAGTATGACAAACGCATACATGAATAACCAGACTCACGTAGCTGTGCTTCATAGGGTAGCAAATGGCAGTTAATCGATTTATTGATAACATCAGCTGAGTAAATAGCTCTATGTTGCATGCGAAGTTCGTGAGTACAAATCCTATCTGAAAGCGTCTCTTAGTTTTGTACTTTAGTAAGCCCTGAACAATTGCTCCGTGAGGGCTGCGTAAGAAGAAAAAAACCGTGAATTTTTTTCGGAACAATTAAGGATGCTGACCTTTGCAATGTACGGTTTATCGAGAACAAACGTCCAGCCGGCCACTGGATATCGAAATCGTATAACTTCGTATAATAACTTCGATTAATGTCCGGAGCTGAAAATGACATTGGCCGTTCACATCGATGAGCAGTTTAATGGAACAACCTTAGCCTATCTACTTTTTGCTCCTTTTGTCCAGTTTTGCAGGCAAATGCGATTATAAACGTAAGCAATCATCCAATCATTTCATCTTTTAATCAAGCACTTATTTTGCAAATCGTACTATTATTGCCTTGCAACTCAGCACATAGGCTTTCCCCATTCAAGGAACCACCACCCTATCTGCTTATTTAACTAAGATTCCAAATTCTTCTTTTTTTTTTTTCAGTATCAGTTTATACATGCTCTTAGAACTGGTTATAATAATAATTAAATGTGTATACAAAAATAACATGTTATAATAATAATTAATAATAATATTCTTCGGCGACCTCTGTTTGAGCCTTTTTTCTGTATTACCGATTTTGTGGATCTTCTAAGCGCGCCAGCGTCACGCAGAGGATCAACCAGGTGATTGTTGGGCACACGCTCCAATTCACGGTGCACCGTTAGTTCACTCTATTCCAGGGGTGATGGAGATGCGCGTAATTCGAGAGCAAAGGGACACAAAGTCTGGTCTTTCTGAGATCGTTTGACTCCATCTTGCGAGGGAAACTCAGGAAAAATTCGAGATGCTTCAAGTCAGCGGTTCTTTCAGCTCTGTCAGTGAAGCACTACCTGTCGACGGACGACCATCTTTCTCCTTTCTAGCTGGAGAAGAATTCTTACTCTAAACACCATGATCTCAAAACGACATCCAATTTTTTTTCGACTGAAAATCAATGGAGTTCTGCAAGTGAGCGCGCAAAGTCAACCCTTGCATTGGCGATGTGCTGCTAATAATGNNGGTGGTGCATGCTAAATTGGAAGTATGCCGGAGAAAACAAAAAGCTAATGAAATTTAACAGCAGTCTGGATGTCTCGAAAATTACGTTCAGACCTAATATCTGTGATCATAGCTGAGCCAAATTATTGTTATCTTCATAGCAAGTGCAAGTCGCCGTGGCAGTAGCAAACTCGTGCCAATGTTCGGATGCTGAATAGCTTCCCAGCTCAATATTGTCTTGGGAGCTGATCTCTGATGCTGCTCTTATGTGGACCTTTCCCGGCTTTGGTTGTTTTATCCACGGGCTTTACTCTCGCTCTTCATGAAGATTTCAGTGTGAATGCCCTTTTTCTTGGCCGAAGCTAGGTGGTTTGCTTCGCATCACGAACAGTCAGACATTTTTGACGTCTCAATTTTAGACTCTGCTCACTATGTACTGACCTCGTATTAAAAATATGTAGTAGAAAGGCGGAGAAAAAATTCATCGTCTCTTGAGAAGATAATATAGCAGAACTCGGTGATGTACAGTAGCAAACTCGGCAGTATGTAGACATGCTGGAGGCCTACCACTAACTGGTAGTCCATGGGAGTCCGAAATGCGTACCTTCCACTCGTCAACAAAAAAACAATTACGTTTCAAATGCAATTTCTTGGACCACAAAAAGCGACCTCAATTTACAGAAAAAACTCGCATTGTCTGTTCGACGTGCAGGAAGGGGCTGTCGCGTTCTATCAGATGCTTCCGCAACTAAGAAAACAACATGATGTGCTAGGTGGCAACTCATTGTCAGAAAAGCTCTCTTTCCAACTAAAATATTCTTGAAAAATTTGTTGCGAAGAAGTGTTAAAAAAAACATTGTTTATGAATTCCTGAAATAGTGCGCTACTCTTTTCTTGGATGTCCATAACTGGTGTCGTAACGCGTAGTAAGCACATGGCGACCCACAATTGCACACTTTGAGATGGAGCTGCTGGTCAGAAAAACATTTGATGTGCCATAAGAGTTAAAATAGCAGAAAAGCGCATCAGCGGAATTTTGGGCCTCAACTAAGAGGTATAAGAACCGGTATATGTATTGGTTGGTCATTCATTGTCCGTATTCCGGCCAGGATCCCCTATGTTGTTACAAGTACCAAGGGGGGGATCGTATTTTGTTGAGTTTATAGGTGGGGGAAGGCCGTATTCGCTCTAGCCTCATGAATTCACATGTGAAGAGTGTTGCGTGAGGTATCCCCCCTCCGCTCGATGGATGCCAATTGAGAGGAAAAAGTGGGTGGAGTTAGGTGTGTCGACTGGTCTCAGAATTAAATGCTATAGAAACAGCCACCATGATGGCGAGGGTGGTGGGGTTGGGGGGAGGGGGTAAAGGGGGTCTTCATTTTTTGATTGGAAGTAAAAAGTAGGGTCGTAAAAAAATTCGAACAACGTAAGGTCGACCCTGATCCGGTAATTTAGAGTAGCCACCCTTCTATATTTATTATGCAATCAGTATATATTATGCTGGTTCGTTATACCTTTCCCGTCTAGGAGAGAGTTAGGACAGAAACATGGGAGTGATGGAGCAATGTATAGATCGCACGGGAGATGAGAATGAGTTCGGATCGACACGCAGTTCGCTGCGAAGGATATGCCGCTATCGGCGCGGTTCGCCTCTCTCTCGCTCTCTGACCCTCTAACTATTTGACACAGAGAGCGTCAATGTTGAAGAGAGCAGCACCGATGAGAGTCACATTAGTGCGGAAATCAACAGGCGATGAAGGGGTCCCACTTCTCCGGTTCTAGAACCTTCCTCATGCTTTTGCTGTTCCACTGACCACCTCTGCTCTTATTTCTGATTGTTTTGGTAGTGTAGATGTAATTCCACGAGTACTGAAAAGAGGTAGAGATAGTGATGAGAAATCATAAAAGGGTCGGAGGCGAAAAAACTTTCAAGCGGTATAGAAGCACCACTCAAAAAAGAAAAAAATGATTGCGTCGCTTGTGTACGACAGAAAAGTATGATGATTATTCTAGGAAATCTGTTTCGGTGAGAATTTCCAGCACTTTTCCCTTTCTGAACGTGAGATCATTGATATCTTGATTTCTGCGATATGACATCGGTTTAGGTACAGCCATTGCGTTTTTATCATAAAAAATTATAAGGTTGACGTAAAGCGGCATAAATCGCTAGGCTTGAATCATTCTCGTTTAGAGCCACTATATGTGGTCCAAAATGGACGCTGTTGGCTTGTGACTGCCTCTCTAAAGTCGTAAGGAAGTAAAGCTGCAGTCTTTTTTGACGATGGTCTCCTTAGCAAGTTTGACAACTGAAACCGGAGAAATTCGTCAGCCTGGCCGGTATTTTTCTGGCGTTTGTCCCATGGTGCGCGGTGACGGCGAACATTGTCTAGGCTCCCAAACGAGTTGTTCGGCGCCGATAGTTTTGTCCTCCTTTCACAGATACAAGCTCAACACCTCTCAACAAGTCGTGCAGCGAGAGCTTCCCATGGAGGAAGCTCGTTCTTGGGAGAACCCAATGCAGTTCACCAAAGAACCAATCTGATGTAAAAGTCAACGGTCCTGCTTATTTATGGGACCCTAAATATAATAGATATCGAAACATGCATAAACGCGGGGAATCCAACGCTAATAGTTTATGATGCGCTACACGTCCTTCTTCCACTGAGAGCGGTGTTGTTATTTGAATGCGATTTAGTGAACGCAGTGACTTGCGGAAGCAATCATGTAGAAGTCAACGATCTTATTCTCCCAGATAATTCTGGCAGCAATTAATCTACGAACAATGAAAGAATGGAAGGTTTGGTTGGCCCGGGCGAGTCGATGTAGAATTCGAATCCCGTGTCATGCGCGTGGTAAGTGGGGCCACTTGTGTTCACCACCTCCCCATAAATACATAAAAATACATCC